TTTTACTGAACTTCTCAACAGAAAAATTGTGCTCACGTGTAACTTTATTGAGAAAAGACAATTTAAAAAATTAAACCATTCAAGACTTTTCTATTACTCCATTATATTTTAAATAAATTTTCAGTATTTAGATTTATCTCTATTCTTAATTGAAACATGAATATGTCAATATTACCTGCTACTTCTCCCAGTATTTTCTCCAAGTGTTAATTTTTGTGTATGATTTCTAGCATTATTATTTGAATTTGACTTGTCCGATTGAGCATCACAATCACTGAAATAAACATTAGACGATAAACATATTTTAATAGCACTTTTCTATAACATTCATAAGTATATATATATTATCATTTATTGATATCCTATCTTATTAAGGTAATCATCAAGATGAGAATAAAACAACAACAACAATAAAAAAAAAAGCATAGAAATATCAAGAAAAGGTGTTGTTGAATTTTGCAAGATTTTATGTTTATTTAACATACACTTAAAAAACAATGAAAATTCATATGATGAATATTTAAAATGAAGAACTTCATTTTAAAGAAAAATTTTAAATCTGATAAAAAATTAAAACAAATGATTTCAATCTTTTCACATCAACAGTCATTAACCCAACGGCGGCATAGACACCAATGAAGCAGACATATTCACATGTCGAGAAAGAGAGAGAGGTCGATTGAATCAAATGATAATTCATATGGTCAGACATCGACCAGGCATGACATTAGACTTTACTTTTCTTTCTTTTTTTTTTCTTCTTCTCCCATTGCATCGATTGACCACTACTTTATGGTTAAAGAAGAAAGCGTAAAGATTTCTTGTTCTCTTCTCTCCAAATATGCATACATATATATGTATATATGCACGATGCGATTAGAGGGGCGTCACTGCGACAGGTAAAGAAAAAGAGACACGATCGTTCACTTTAGCTCGTTGATTGAAGATGGTATAGAGAAAAGACAGAGGGAGAGAGAGAGAGAGAGACATTCTTTATCTAGTACCGATATCAACAAAAATGCCCCCGAAAGGCATTATTATACAGTTCGACACGCATCGGTAATTTAACAGAGAAAGAGAGAAGAATACAAAAAAGCAAAAAGGAAAAAAAATGAAATGCAAAGATTCATAGATGGATTAACATTATGCCAAGACTTTTAATCTTTGTAAATACAAATAGTCGATTTTATAATGTAAACAAAAGAAAAAAAAAAGCATTCGGATATCCGTTTATTTTGTTTTTTCTGCGGTAATTCCAGTCAAACAATTTAAACAATACAGTAAACATTCATTACCTGATATCATCAGTATTGGCTAGGAAATAATCCATTGTATTATTTGTATTTTTATCAAAGATATTAAAACGATGATGTTGTTGTCTTCTAAAAAAAAAAAGAAAGGAAATGAATAAATAACCAATGGCATCAACTATGATAAATATAACCAATCGATTAATCGACGATATATGTAAAGAATAAAACGAAAAAGAAAAAAAAAAGAGACAAGACCGATAATCGTATTTATTAATGTTGCTTGGTAATCCCATTTGGATATGGATGACTAATCTTAATTCATACTTTTCTTCAGGTTTCTACAAGTCATAATCAATCTATTTGTTTATTATTCTCATTGATTCATATATTTATATAAATGACGAAAAAACAAAACAGAAAAAAAAAAAAAAGAACGGATCATAATCATCATCATTATCAGCAGCATATTATTATTATTATTATTATTGCGTTCTAGAAAAAAAGAAAAATAACTCGCGCATTACCTTACCTGTCGAAGGAAGAAGCAGTGATAGCATCAGTAGCTAGCATCATCGTTCGTTTTCTTTCTGCTATCTTATGAATAGACAACAAACGAAAATGACGAGCAAAAGAGAGAATGTTACTTTCTCTTTCGATCTATCGAATGTAAATCAGAAGAACGAGAAAAAAAATCCATTTGATGAGAAAGAGAAATCTGCACTGCTGTTCTATGTATGTGTGCGTTCACCGATAGATAATTATGAGAACAAGGAGTAAACGAGTATAGTAGTTGTAGTAGTAGTAGTGGACATTCATTTCGTTTGTTCGTTCTGTCTCTTTTTTTCGGTGACTACTATACTGCAATATCTCATCTTTATACTTCGATGTGCTCAGACAGACAGACAGACAGACAGTCGGTGATGATAATGGTAGCGTCAAGAGAAAGAGAGTGGGAGGTACTGAGACAAAGTTCTACCAATCACTAACATCGTTGCACGGTCACGGATGAACGAGTTTTTTTAACAAACTGCCAGCAATATAACATACTATACTTATATTTCTGGCTCTCATTCTATACTGTATTTACCTGCCTGACTGCAAAAACATCGTACATCATTCGATTCGTCACGAATTATGATGACACTCCATCCATTATTATTATTCTTCTTCTTCTTCTTCTTCTTTCACTTTCTTACTCTCTCTCTTTTCCTATACATACCGGCAAAACGATGATGCTTCAGGTCGATCGCGACAGAAAGAGAGAGCGAGAAAGCAGAAAAAGATAAATATATGCATGTATATATATAGATATATGTGCGTATGTAACGGTGGGATTGGTGCGTGTGGAATTGAAAATAAGCACTTTCTATTCTCTCCAATAGAATGTATATTTATAGGTGTGATGACAACTACGAATATAGCCTACGGGTTTATATCTATGAAATAGTCATTCATTTTCAAGAGATACATCCATTGCACATCATAAATAGATATATATATATATACATACACACGCGATCTGGCTCTTTACAATTTGAATAGCAGCAAATAGATGAGAAAGAACAAAAAGAAAAAGAAATAAAAATCCCTCGATGTATAAGAAACATTGTTGCACATTTAAAGGATTGACAATGAGATGTTGAAATAAAAGAGGAGGTTGATCATTGTGGGAGGAAGCAAAGCCAATGTTCAGAGTGAATGTATGTGTATATATAAATGTGTGTGTGTACTCTGCTGCTCGGAATTTCGTCGTTGTATTGTGTCAACAATTAGGAGAAAAAGAAAAAGAAAGAGACACGAACGAAACGAAGAAGAAGAAGAATCATCATCTGATGATCATATCTCGGTTGCCGACGACATAGTGCATCATTGTCTTTTAAAGCTTGACATTTTTCGTAGCAGACACGTTCTTGGGAAGCGCATATGAATACAGTAAAGAAAGAAAGATGACACAAACACACACACACACACACACACACACAAACAGAATAAAAAATGAAGAGAGAAAGGACTGCGAAAAAAGGTCAGAGATTATGGAAGAAACCTACTATTACAGAGAAGAAAAAGACGAAGAAAAGGATTATTCCTTCTTATTCTTCTTCAACACGAACATTGTCTATACTACCGAATGCAAAGACGTGAATTCCAGGAAATAACGTTCCGCATGTTTACTTTCAGATTTAATCTGCGAACGAAAATGTATGGAGTAAACAAGAAAAAAAAAAGAGAGATTACCTCGTTCGCTTGATGTAAACGTATTGTCGTTCGTTTTCTTCGTTTTTTATTTTATTTTAACGAAATGATAATAAGCAAAGAAAAAAACAGAAGGATACTGCCAGAAATAATCGAGTTTTACGAGCATTATATAGCAAAAAAAAGAAACACGAAAAACGAGAGAAAGAGAATTTCGTATGCGTGTATGTGGCACATGGAACTTCTTGTTGTTGACACAAGAAGGCAGGCAGCAGTTATAGACTGATAAACGGTCTTATCTTTCGGCTCGACTATAACTACTGCTGAAGAGAGCAGCACCGCAACGTCTCTCACACACGCACACACTTCAATTCTTTTTCATTTAAAAAATAGAAGAATAAGAGAGGAAAGATCATAAAAGTAGTGGAACTCAATAGAGATTAGAATTGACGCATCCACTTAAAATATACTTGAACATAATAATAATCAGAAAGAGAAAAAAAAATTTGTTTAAATAATTGTCATTCTCCTGTTTTTGCCAGTAATCATGATGACACAATATTTCATCTTCATTTTTTGTGCAAGAATTAATATGATGATAAATAAATAAATATATATATATGTAATAACTGCTGTTGTTCTCTATTCTCTCTCACGTGGAGAGACCGTTATTGGACAAATAACTGCCATTTCATGCTTACTGATATCAAAGAAGAAGAAGAAAAAAAAAAGGAAGACCTGTGCCATATATATCAATGTTTTGCTTCAATGCTTTTTTTTTTCAATAAAAAATATGGTTGGAATTTTCAGTTTTGGATGAGTAATCAATCAAATACCTGATTAATCGACCATCCATTGGTATACACATATATGTTTTCCTTCTTTATTTGCACTTATAAAAAGAACATCGACTGGTGATAATCATCAAATAATTAAGAAAAATTGAATTTCATAATTGAATACGACAATATTTATCAACTTGAAAAGTTACATTCATGATAAAAATTTTATTGATATATTTAGTTATTATCATCTAGAAAGAAAAAACATTTTCCTTAATAATAAATAAACAAAAAACATGAAGAAATTTTCGTTTTTAGTTTAATAGTGTTTTTTTCTTCAAAATTATTCATTAAAATATAATTTCAATTTAATTGAATATAATCAACTCAATATCAAAAAATAACTCATTTATAATTACATAATATTCAAAAACAAACATTTAAAACGAACAAATTAATCGACAGACTATCTAATAATAATCATTTGAGAATAAAAAACAGCTGTTGTATGATGATCAAAAAAACAAAAAAAAAAAATTCTTAGATCATCTCAAAGAAATTGCTACAAAATAAATCTAAGCAATTAGAATATTATTTATGATCAATTCTATTTCACTTAAATAAGAATAAAATATTAATCGTTTATTAAATAATTTCAGATGTTCATCAAGAGATGTATACAATAAAATTATCATTGTATTAGAGAATTACTTAAGAAAATTTTTATTTTTGAATTAAAACAAAAAAAAAAAAAGATTTCTTGGCAAATTCTTTAGTTTGATTTTCGAGGTATGACTTTAATTATAATTATAGGATTTATTTTTCTTTTTTTATTTCTTAATATATCATATATTTGTGGTGTAATAAATGCAAAACCAATAGATCCCATAAGAAATCCACCTGATATACTTAAACCTTGTAAATGATAAGCTATTGAAATTAAATAATTAGTTATAATATAATTAATTAATGTAAATAATGTAGCTATACCAATACCCATTTCAACAAATACAAGAATAGCAATACGTTTAAGAACAAGTAAATCTCGTTTATTATGAATTTGTCGTTGTTGTTGAATATGAATTGTTTGACGAGTATATCGAATGATGTAAGCATACATTAAACATACAGTTAATATAGGACCAATATACATAATTAGTAAAGCATGAAAAAGTGCACGAATATTTTTAAAAGAAATCCAACAACTATATGCTAAAGAAGAATATTGAAAATTATTTGTAAGAAGATGTATTAAAATATAAAGAAATGATATAAGCCATTGAATAAATATTCCAATAAGAAAAATATAATGTGATTGTAATTTTTTCTGTTTATAAAATACTACACGAAATAATCGAAAAATACTTTGAAGAACACATGAATAATAAAATGAACATATAAAAACATGAATAAAATATCCTCGTAATTGACATAAATAATTATTAAGAAAATCAGAAGAATTCAAACTACCGTATATATTATAACTATATATAATTAACATCAAGAAAGCTCCTAAGAGTAATGTGAAATATGTATTACATGTGAGAAGAATTGAAACATTTGAAAATAATGGATGAATACGAATGTAGACTATGACGAGAATAAACATGGAAATAAGAAAACTCATGAAAGATAATAACAAAATAATGCCGTTAAGAAACAATTCGACGTTGATAATCATAAATGAATTATATTAATATGACTAAATGTGTGCAATGAAGCCTAGATAAATTGACTAGCATTCTAAATAATTATAAAATGTTTAATTATATTATTTTATAAAGATAAATAAAATGAGTATGAAAAATCAATATGATTGGTGCTTTACAGATTTATTTACTTTTATAAATATAGATCCATAATTGTCCTGAAGCTAAAACCTGACTGCCTTATGAGTTGAAAAAATCGGTAAGAGAAAATTCAAATTTGATTATATTAAGTAGTTAGATGCTAATGTTTGCCTGTTTGAACGGTAATAAAAGTCATTATTGTTGTCAATTTTATAAAATAATATTCAACTTTTGAAAAACATATTCATATAACAAACTGAAGGAGTAACTTAAAGCCATTCTCAGTAAAAACATTTATTGAACTACTTCATATCTTTAGAGCGTTACGACTTCCCATATAACACATCCCTATATAAGAGACAGCAAGAGATGAGAATAGGAAAGAGGACACAAAAGCTAGCGGGACGTGACATTAATATTGGCACAGATATGACTATGTCAGAGTGAAAATTGATGTTATAACTTGACTGAACAAAATTAGCATTGAACTAAACGGAAAACGGCGCATTTCCGTATTATTAAAAAAACTAAAAGTAGAAAGAAAAAAAGTGCTACGATGAACACATATGTGTTCTATTTCACAGAACAGAATATAAATGTGTAAAATTTTCTACTTATATTTGATTGTATCATTCAACAATGTATATCTACACACTTATACATATAACAGTACCATTAACAAGAAAATGGACAACTTCAAATATGACAAGTACTTATATAGATAATGGTGAGAAGGTATTTTACGAAGAATTACCTAAACACATTGATTTCATTAATGAAAAATTTCAATAGAAAGTCTTTATAAAAATAACAAGCTTATCTAGATATCCTACAATGCTTGTCACTACTGAAAGGTAAACTATCTGACTTCTATTCATCAAAATTTTGTTTTGACGAAAGTTGTTAATATCAAAATTGATTGCTATATTTAATCTAACATATCAATTTTTGCATTTATATAGTGTTACATGGAGATTGTAATAAAATAGTTATTGAAGTAAATATTTAATATGTATAAACATCTTAGGTCGGTCATTATGAATCACTGTAACTTTATCATAGATGATCATTTATGCGCCGTAATTGTACGTCCAGTGTAATGCCTGTTTATAGCAGTCTATTCTCATCATATAGCATCGTAAATATGCCGCATTATTGACAATAACTAGATCAAATAAATGCAGTCATAAATGGTTGCTTTAGATGGTCTTTTCGTTTAAAGGTAGGTGCAGTATCAGAGGGTGGGTATGGGTTAATGTTGAATCATATAATATCATTGAAAGTATTCAGACAGACAAGAAAAAAAATAAAAAGACGCTGAACACACTTAAAATAACTTAACAGTTTTCGGATATAGATCGAAAATCTTGATTATCATTCAAAGTCATCCAGAAAATGCGACATGAAAATGATTGTATCTCATATGATTTAAAACTTTTGACGATCTAAGTGTTACATATTCCTGGTCACTTTCACACCTACTTTTTAAACATTTCTAACTTACAATTGTGAAGTTTGATCAGTATCGAGGAATATTCAGATTTTTCGCACGTCTACACAACTAATTTTTTTTTCTCTATTTCTACAATTTTTGATTTTTTTAATCGTCTAAGTTATTAGTATAATTTCAATAATTGATGCACAGATAAACAGACCTATCTCTTTACCTATTCATTTACATTCAAACATATATAGCAGCCTGTCTGCCTGTCTCCTAATCTGTTTTTAAGACGGCTAGCAACATAAAATACACTAGTCAACTTAATTCTTTTCGGTCGCTTAGTTCCCATGATAAATTCTTCTTTCTTCACTCGACACATGAGTTACAGCCCAAGTCAGCTACTCTTTCTCAACACCTGAGCATCGTTTCGAATTGAGAAAAAAAGTTTGTTGACATCACGTGAATATAACAAATGCAAAATCTGAAATCTTCTTTTTTTTTTTAATCAAATTCAACAGCATCTGAAAGATATAAATATACGGAAAACGATAATTAAGAATTGATATTTGCCTTATAGGGTGATGATTGATTTAATCTTAATGCGACTGTTCATATCTTAGATGGTCAATAATATTTATTTCAATTATCGCCGTATGTAAAATAAATTGATCTACGATAAAGCCTCGAATGTCTAGGAAAAATTTTGGTATTTTTTGTATGAAGAAAATAAGACAGAGAAAAAGGATATGAAAAATGTTTTTTTTCCATTTATATTTAATAATAGTAACATGTCACAAGCATATTGCCAAGAGCATATTAAAAAAAGAATTATTATTAGAAACTGTTTCAACAAGAAAAAAAAAACTAGAAAAATATTTATTTCTATTTCTATTTTTTTTGACTGATTCGTTTAACAATTCAATAAAAGAATATCTAGTGATTATTTTTAAAATAAATCGAACAGATTTTGATCTTGTTAATTGAAGCACATGAGATAATGTACTAACATAGTCGAAGTTCGTGCAGTTCAACAGTCTTCTCTACTCGAGCTTTGTTTGAATGACAGTCTGTCTAGTCTATCTGTCTAGTTATCTACTTACTTACTTATATGCTTATCTATCTAACTATCTATCCATCTACTAAACAATTATTATAAATCCATAAATTTATCTGACTACTGTCTATTTTAGATTTAAGTACATCTCGAATTTTTTGAATAAAGAAAAAGAGTTATAGTTTAGATTTTCAATAGTATTAATAGTGGACATTGCTCTATACTTTTATACAATCAACAACGAATTCTCTTACTTTTTGTGTTAGACACATGACTAGTTTTCCCAACAACTACTTACCACTCTTGTTAGAATACCATTTTCCAAGTGTAATATGGTAGACTGTTCTCTCTTCTGTTAAGCAACACAAGATTAAGATGACTTATTACATAATAGTTTTTCAAAAGTTGGAATTATAAGAAATCTTTCTAAACATTCTATTACAATTATTGAAAAATACATATTGATACCAGTCAGATAGAGATCATCTTCAAAATCTACAACGTGTTCAACCAGTAAGCTATTGAGTTCGTGGTATTTAACAGGCATTGAAAATAAATGCCGCTTGCTACTTAAATCTGCAATAGACATCAGCTTTCTATTTAACTACTTCTGCAACTGACGATTTAACTATTTATCTACTTACTTACCTAATTATTGACCTAACTATTTGCTGAAACATCTACTTCATTAAATATGTGACTATTCAACTGACTACATGTGCATCGGACTACCCATGTCACTGTGTAATTATCTAACTAGACAGCTAATAAAGACAAATTTGATTGACAGATAAAATGTAGTCAAAACATAAATGAATGTGAGAGTGATAATATAACAGTATTTTTCTTCTATATTTTTACTATCGATATTGGATGTGCAAATCTATTTAACTAATTTACCTATATGTCTGTCTGTCGATCTAGAGATATATCTTTTAATTATATAACTATTACTGTATCTATTCGTCTATCAAAGAAAAATGATGCTGTAAAAAAGACGTTCGGCGTGATTGAAACTAGAGAACACCCACCCGCTGAAGATATTGAATAAAAAAAAAGTAGGCACATTGTGAACTTAGCACACAAAGTTAAGTATCATACAGATAGAAAGAAGAAATAGGAATTTTATGACAATATTTATAAGTCAAGAATGAGTTATGTTAATTCTTTAGAAAAATTCACATAAAAGAATATTAAATTTGATGTTTATTGTGAACGGTTTCATTCTAGATGAGAAAAATACATGGACATGACAAAAAAAAAAGAAAAGAGACAGAAAATTCAGATAAAAGACAATTGTCTTTGAAACATGTTTTCATTCTTCTTGCTTCTACAGACTATTGATATGAATTTGAATATAAGAGAAAACGGAGCAAAGTACCTAAAATACTTTATATAGGTGAAAAAAACTTTATGAACGTGGATCTGAATGGAAAAATAAATTGAAAAAAGATTAAATATAATAAAATACAGTGAGTTCCACATTTTACAGAATTATCAGCTCTTGCGAGAGGTAAACATATCTTTAAATTGTGCATTGAATGGAGGTTAGAACCGAAAATTTTTGATTATTAATCGACATACACAATCGCTTTCTAAGAAAAAACAAAATGACAAGTAACTATAATTCAATTTAGTTCTCAATTACATCGCATCAATCATGAAGCTAGTTTATAAGTTTTTACTTTGCTTTTTTTTCCTTCTAATAAAACAAGATTTTATTGTTCCTTTATTTAACTTTAATTTGTCATTAACACAATTTTTTTCTAAAAATCATCTAAGTCGAAAAAAAAATTTTTTTTTTTTTGTATCTTCATCTTTTTTTTCACAGGAGAATTATATTTATCTTTGGATTTTTCTTATGAAATTAAGAATAAATTTTTAATCTTAATGTAAACTACTAAATGCGACTCATTCATTAAACGGATCTTCTTTGACTATGAAATGATAATAATCTAATCTAGAACAAACTCTGAAAAAATTCTTTTTAACAAAACAAATATCCTATGATCTTGATTATGGGTAATAAATTACCGTATTCATTCAATCAAGACATTTTGTTAAACTCATATATTTTCGAAGAAAATAGTGAGTGTAAGTTTCAAGTCGAAGTTTTGCTACTTCCTACCTTTACCTGACTCTCTCCATTGCATACCTTAGCAACCGAAATTAAAGATGCTCTATCCAACATAAATAACAATGCTTCAATGGTTCTAGTACATTTGTTGAATATCGGAAAAGATTTTCAATAATTGAATTCAACTTTCAAGTTTATCACTACGGCAAGTTTTCAAGTACTTTCAAGTTTGACTTATTTTTGTGTCAGGTTATTCATTTTTAAATGAATGATAATCCTGCTAAGTAATCCCAGCATAATATAATTAGATTGCCTGAGAATGTGTTTAAAATATTGTATAAATAAAAATAGTTATGTCTGCTCCTTTAGTGCATTGTAGTCAAAATCTAAATAAATTAAAAAAGCTTCTTAGCGCAATCTCTTTACGACAAATATGCGGAATTTATCATGTCTTATTTAGCTTTATTATATTAATAAAAAATGCACAAAGTGTAAAGTCTCTAAAAGCCGATAGTTCTTTTTCAATGATAATCGATTGTTAATAAATGCTGTCTTTTTTATTTGTCTTGTTGCTATTCGCTTGATATTTCTTTTCTTTTCATGACTTGTTACTATTAGTCTAATCGATGATATACCAGACAAATAAGTCTATTATGTATCTTGATGAACTCCGTCAGACCGAAATTGATTATTTCCGAAAGTTAGAACTTAATCAGGTCATACTTTTGTGTTGGTTATATATAACATTTATGGAAAATCAAAACAGCATCTTTGATATCTATCATATAATCGTTTATCTTGAATTTCAAGGAAGATGCTGAAATGTTCCCGTAGTGACAGATCTGAGAGTTGAATTTAATTATTGAAGACCTTTTTAGATATTCAACTAGTCTATTTTCACGGTACCTACATCGAGAGAAATGTCTCTGTGTTTCCGTTCCTCTCAATTATTGAATAGTTGAATTCAACTTTCACATTTGATATTTATGCAAATCTGATAATTTAAATAATTTAGCAAATTTTTACAAAAACCAAACCATGGAAAACTCAGATTTATGTGCATTAAGAAGTTAATTATTTAATACGCCATTATCATCAATAAATATTTTATGAAAAAACGCATTATATTCAGATTTCCAAGCGCTTACATATGTATTCTAGAGCAGAGAAGATTTTGGAAAGTCAAATTTAAACGCTTGAGAAAGTCTATCTTCTAATGTTATAACATGAATGGAAAATCAGTGGTCCTGTAAACTTGATTTTTTGAGCGTGTCTATGGTCAAAATTTCCTCCGTGAGTACCAATGGACACGTAAACGTTCGAAGTATTCTTTTTTTTTTAATCTTTTAATGCTCATTTCTTTTGGCATGTATGTATATTTTCGGCAATCTAAACATCATGAGTTTGTTCGCCACATTTTTATTAATGAGAATGGCATATTAAATAATCTATTGCTTAATGCTCATAAATCGGATTTTCCGATGCTATATTTTTATTAAAAATTTTTTAGCTTATTTAAATGAGTAGGTTTGAGTGCGGATAGTTTTATTTTCTTCTTCTACATTACCACCAACGCCTACACCGATTCATAGCGAACTCATTTCAGTCCGTACATAACAAAGATTCAACATAAAGTTTATGATTGCGAATAAGAAACTAAATATATATAGTAAGTGATACTTGTATTTAAAATTCTATCGAAATTTTCGCTTGAAATATTCCTTGACAAGCTTTTCTTAATGCAGCATTGTAGTTGATAAGATTGGTATGTGACAAATATCGTGCGGTGTTTTATTTCATTCTTTCAGTATAGATCGTAAAACTTCATGCTTGCCATTATTATGTGCATAAGATTTATCATATAGCCAATTGATACTAGTTGTTACTCAATACAACCATCGGAGAGTGGTTTTAATGAAGTATAATTTATGCTTCATAAAAAAGGTCATTAATGAATCGCGAATTTCGATGGAAATCGAAAAGAACTCGACAAAAATTCTTGTTTTAGACAATTTCATCGTGCTATTATCTTACAATTAATAGGACTATAATATCATGATTTAATTATCAACTTTTTCTACATGGTTAATTACACTGTTAATATTTTTGTCGAATTTCCTTCTATTCTTTTCTTAATTGAAGTTTCTCTTTTGTATCAAAAAGTAGCACTTGAATATCTGCATACAAAAGTATATTTTATTGAACACGTATAATCACCTTCATTTTTTAAAAATCTAACGTTATCGTATAGTAAAATAAAGTAAAGAACATTAAATTTTTTGTTTTTATGTTATCCTAATTTGTAATTTCAACAGGCTACATCCCATATGTCGCCGCTTTTTTTTCATGTCCTTGACATACACAAACCTCAAGATATGTTCATATATTCTACGACTTTCTTTCCATAGGCAAGCACTTAAAATCTTTGCATGAACTATGCGCACATTCAAAGTCGTTCATTCGCTAAACTCATGAAAATCATACGAATAAGCATACTTGAAACAATCAACTGGAATAAAATAATTAGGACTTTTCTCTTCAAGATGAAAGAATACTCCTTATCATTGAGAAAGTTTGAATCTATATACTTACTCAAATGGATTATCTTTTTGGCTTGTTTGTTACAGACTTTGTCATTTAAATTGTGAATTTTTATTATGAATCAAATCATTTTGAATGTAAAATTGCAGAAACAAAAAAAGAAAAGTATATATAAAATATAATTAAAATTAATTTCATGCGCCATAGATAACATTGTAAAAGATGACGAGATTCAATGGAGTATTACTAACGCTAGCTTGTGATAAGAATAGAATTTTGTTGTTAATCTGTACAGCTCGTAATAATTTTCCATAAAGTATTTCATTTGTAATTATCCGCACACGTGAGCTTGCAAAAAGGTTTCAAGTTCTACCTCAAGATACTCAAGAATCTCATGATCATGAAAAAAAAAAGTTCGACTAAGGTGTCTAATGAATTTTACTTAGGGAGATCCAGTGTCTAATAGTTATTCAGCATGAACATACGAAAATGTTCTGTACACTATTTTTGAGTTCGGTAATGTCAATAAGTCTTAACAGCGTTGTGGAAGCATCCAGTTTGCAAAATCTGCGCATGTATTTCTGTCCGGATCAGTCAAAGTTGACTTTTTTTTTTTCATGAAAAATAGTCAAGTGTTATTCCACCAAAATTACAATAAATTTATATTGATTCATGACTATTTTCATATTTAAGTTTTACAAATGTTTGCATGTCTTTCTCCTTATCATCGTTTTTTCAAATATATCCAGAAAAAAAGAATTTTTGAATTGTATCATATAAATGCTTTTGTAGAGCATTTAAAACTCTATCTTTTGATAAAAAGAATGTTTCAATAAAATCAAGACTATAGAAGAAATTTAAAAAATAATAAGAGTACCATTATTTATTTTACAAATATTTATTATTTTTTTGAATTCAAAATGAATTTTTATAAATGTCTATAGTTTATATTGAGATTAACTGTGTCTGTTGTCGACTTGAATCTGTTGTTGTATGTTGAATGTTTCTTCGTGTCATTGAAGAACATTTAACTTGTTCATTTCGTTCAAATATATGTCGTATTTTAGGTGTGATAAATATTAATGTAATTGGTGTAACAACAAGTCCAATTGATATACTTACTACTTGTATTTCATAAGCAAATGGTATTAAATAATTAGTTATTGAATAGATAACTAAAACAGATAATGTTGAAACACCAAACATAACTAAAAATAATAGAAGAATGACAATACGTCTTAAAATAATTGTATCTCGTTTATAAGATTTTTGTCGTTCTCGTTGACTGGTAATTGTTCGACGAACATATCGAAGAATATAAGTATATATTATGAATATAATTGAAAGTGGACATACATATATACTTAATGTTACTAATAATATTCCTCGAATGTTTCTAAATGAAATCCAACAATTATAATTAAGAGATTGATATTGAAAATCATTTAATAATATATGTGGAAAAATAAAAAGAAATGATAAAATCCATTGAATAAAAATAGCAATAATAAACACATAAAATTTTTGTAAGATTTTCTTTTTATAATATACTACTCGAAAAAAGCGAAAAATTGCTTGAAGAACAAATGAATAATAAAAAGCACAAAAACAAACATATGGCAAATATGCACGAATTTCACACCATCGACCAGCTAATGAAATAGGTGAATTTATATGACCATAAAGATTATGTATACCTGCATAAAGTAATGTAAAACAAAATAAAATTATAGTAAAATAAGTATTGCATGATAACAAAACTGATATATTTGATATCGATGGATGAATATGAATAAATATTCGTACAAGAATCAAGAAAGAAATAAGACAACTTAAAGATATTAATGCTATGAAGATACTACTGAGAATTATTGATAAAGTCATAGTATGAATAAGCTATTGAGTATTATTTGATCAAATTGTTTATTTTGATAAATTTTAACACAATTTTTAATTTAAACAATATTTGTTTGAGATAGTATTGAATAAAATTTTTCTGTATAATATTTTTGAATGCTAAGATAATTGTAACAATTTAATGGGCAGGATAGAAGAATATAAGCATTGAACAATAATTTTTATTACTTGCAATATTTGCTTCTTGAAAAAAGGAGTACTATAAAGATAAGTTTTAATTGAGATCGAGTTTAAAATTCTTCCATCAATTATATAAATTCTCGTTTATAAACAAATATTTAACATTCATATTTTTTTTGTTTTAGTTATGGAATGGCTCAGAATAAGGGTTTATTCGATAAAAAATCTTGTCTATTATCTAAGAAGTTGAATAAAAGCTTGAACTTTGATTTTAATTAAATTTAAAAACTTGTCTAATATGAATATTGCCAATAAATTATTTATTTGAAGATATGATAACAAAGAATAATCTAATCATATTACTTGATAAAAAAAAACAATAATTAATAAATGTAGCAATTTGTAACTTTTATAATATTCAAAAGTAACTAAAATAGATAGCTTAAGTTCGTCATTTTTATTACGAACACAAATTTTTTTTAAATATTTTCTATACTTACCAAATACAGTCAACAATATGGCATAAGACACTATAAGAATTAAAGAAAAAAAATACATATATCGATATATTATAAAAATCTAAAATATTCATTTGAAAGAGCCATCGAAGAGATCAAAATCCATTGATATTAATTCTTCTGATTAAGAATGTCTATATACTTAGATAACAAATAGATGACATAATACTAATCAGAAAATAGTAGAAAAAAGAATCAAGTTTTTCATTAGAGAACATTGATTCTATGAACTAGGAGTATCAGATTAGCATTAATATTCCCACTAATACGAATACTAATAAAGCATTAGTATTAATTAATAGTAACATAAATTGTAATGCATCAACTCAATAAATAAATTCAAATTGTACTCACAGTGAAACTATAACTAATGGAATGTATGAAAATATTTACATATGCTGTTTAGAAAAAAAAAGATATATAGAAATCTGTAAAATCTATTTGAAGAGAAAATTTTTCTATTATAAATCTTCCACTAAATTATATTTCAGTTTAATACTTGAAAGATAACAGCAAATTATCTCGAATGATACTCATGCAGATGAGTCCAAGTAAAGAATAGAAATTTCACATTTCAAGTGCAATGCTATTCTGATTCAATCGTTTAGACCTGAGAGAAGGTCATAATAAGTTCATTTTCTGCACATCGTTATATAATCAATGACACAAGCAAAGCAATACTACTACAAGCATCTAGATTAAATATCGATGACATGTGCATAAAATTAATTATTACGCATTCATTTTATTATGAAATAGATATACATATAATATATATATTTTTGTAGAGTTCAGTTGAGTCAAGAAATTTAATTTCGTTAAAAAAAGTATAAGGTGTGTTCGAAAAGTCACCTATGCACAGACAATATTGAATATCTCCATCATATTTTTTTAGTAAAATGAGCTAATTTATTTTTCTGTCTATTGAAGAAAGTTCGAAGGTTTTATTCTTATGAAATAAATTTCACAATTATCACATAAAGCATGAATTTTAATAGAATGTTTTAAAATCTTCATACTTCATACAATATTGGTGAGAAAGTACGTCAATTTTGAAAAAAATCCATATCTTGAAGAAACTAAATCCAAAAATGCTGGAGCTTTGAATAAAAACTAGTGTAAGCAGGATCTTTTCATGTACAATACTTCAGATAAAAATTCAAACATATATTTCTATTAAAAAAATGAATCCTACACAATAGATAAAAAGGCAAATTTGGATTAAAGCGTATTTCTAATAAAAAAAGTTTTTTTCTGGATTTTCGTGATTTATTTTGATCGAAATGCACTTTTTTCTTCTTAGGATCCCAATGAAAATTATTCAATAGTCTGATGAAAACTCAAGAGAATCACGAATGATTTAGAGGTTGGTTTTCGTTTTTAATCATTTCGGAATTCTTCTTCACACGTATCTTGAGAAATAAGAAAACGAAAAACTACTATCGGCGCCAGAAGTCAAGGCATTCAGATGTTTTTGAATAAATCTTGGTAGGAACAAGATAGAAACCCGTGGTTTTAAACACTTGATAACCAAGACCAAAGAGCATAATTTCATAAGCAAAATTTTTTCTGAGAAAAAATTCGAAGATCGGTTTTTGAGATGATCTCTGAAAAACCACGCTGAATTTCTGAAAACTTTTATAGAAGTCTGTTAATTTTCTTACATATTCGGAATCAGCATTAAAAACTGAACCGACTCATATATGTTTCGAATATTTTCACGAACTTTCTGTTTTCGTCGAAAAATTCACTCCTGATCCCGGTCAGGAGTTGATCAAAACGTGAATTTCATCAAAACGCTGTTTTTGTTGATTATTCACTTGCCATTTTAGTTCCTAATAGCATTCTACAAGCTTCGAACCTGCTTTCTACTGTCCAAATGGCATTTTGATGGAATTCACTTTTTGATCGACCCCTGAGGGTGACCACAGGGATGAATTTTTCGACGAAAAACAAAAGTTCGTGAAAATATTCGAAACATGTATGACTCGGTTCAGTTTTTGATGCTGATTCCGACTATGTAAGAAAATCAACAAACTTCTATAACAGTTTTCAGAAATCCAGCGTGGTTTTTCAGAGATCCTGTGAAAAACCGATCTTCACATTTTTTCTCACCAAAAAATTTGCTTATGAAAATATGCTCCTGGGTCTTGGTTATTAAATGCTAAAAACCGCGGGTTTCTATCTTGTTCCTACCAAGAGTTATTCAAAAACCATCCGACTGCCTTGACTTCTGACGCCGGCAGTAGATTTTTGTATGTCAGTCATGTTTGATATCTCTGAACAGATGTTTTGAACTTCTTTCATAAGAATAAAAATTTGAAACTTTTTCTTATAGCAACATTTGGTACACTCTGCATTTAATTTCTATATCCTTTTTATATTTACATCAATCTCCTGTGCTTCTGTCTCAAAGTATTGAGTTAAATTTCCATGAGATTTTTTTTCATACTCATTTGCAGAAAAGTTTGACTCTATTCATAGAGAAAAAGAAAAATGTTGATTCATGAAATCATTGAGTATTATTATGACCTCCTATATACTTATAGTAACATGAAGTAGCTAAGCTATTTGTTGAGCTTTCCAGTAGCATAAGTTAATACAAGTGTTTCATATCATTTTGCCTTTGAAAAATGAACAATATGACAAATAGGCATACAGAATTTATTTATGTGAGCCAACATGATTTGAAGAAACTCTTGAGAATTCGGATAAAGATATGTTTCTCGTGTAGTAATAGGAGTACAATATTTGTACACAACTTCTGTGATTTATTTATTAATAAACAAAGTGTTGCATTATTTTTTCGTGCGTTTAATTACACAATCCTTACCTTTTGGAATAAAACTTTGTCTTATATGATATTTTTGAGTGTTAAGTAGCATCTATTCCCTTTCTTCGAATGTGCATATGAAAAAGAGAATTCAGTTTTTCGTTTATTTTGATAACAAAGAAAATTTTATTTTCAAGGTTCTATTTTCATTTCATAAAATTTTTCTCTCTAGCGGCAGATTTTGCGTCTATGCATGATAATATTGTTTGAGATTTGCAAAGATTTTGTTTTTTCTTGTTAAACTCGTATTGTTCATTCGAAAAAAAAATCTTTTTAACTTTCACTAATTATATATTATCTTTCAAAAGTTTAAACCTTACTCCGTACATATAATTATAAAATCTTGAACCATTATCTAGTAACAGAAACATATCTAAGCATCTTATTCATACGTGAATACTTTAACATACGCTATCTCTTTTATCTCAATTGCATTAAAATACAATTACAATTTTTACGCAAAAAGAGTCTTCCGGCTCAGTTCTTTGAGTACCTCAAACATGAACTAACAAAAGTTTTGTTTGTCTAACTACATTTCACTTTAAGAAACTTTTAATAATTACAAATGCATTTTGTTTAATTGAATAAGAAAAAAGAAAATGCTTGATTTCATTGCTGAAAGCGTTCGGAAAAATAAATTCAAGTTTATTTTCTAGGTACAAATGAGGACATTTCAATGGAATTCAGTTTTGTGAAATTTCTGTAATAACAAGAAATAATATATTACGTAATAAAGATTAATAAAATGTTTACATTCAAAATGTAATTTAACTATATAATTTCTTTCATTATTTGTTTTCGTTACATGATTAACAATAATAATACACCGACTTGATGATTACAATGACAATTATTATCAAGATCATCATTATCGTCAAAGACTTTGTGAGATATATTTTATTACAAAGAATAGATTTTTCTTTTAGAATGCATGAAATTCGGATATTTTGGCTGTTGCACAAATAATAAAACTGATATAATTTGATTAGAGATGTACGAAATTAAAAACTGAAGATTTGCTGGGACTGAACGATAGATTATAGTTAAATTTTTCGATGTTTTGAAAAAATCATCTTATTAACCATACCGATCATAAGCAAGCTTGTGAGAAAAGGTAAAAAAAACATGTAGTCTCTCTCATATTAAAAAAAGTATCTTTTTTCGACTCATTTTTTCATCACCTATTATACGCTGTGTTAAAAAAAAACAAAATATATCAGGTTCTGTGGCAAGTGACTATTTGTTGGAAATTCGATATCTCGGCAAATTAGTGTTCTGTTCTGGCTGAAATTTGCAGAACATTCTAAAGATCACTAGATCTATCTATGATTTGAATTTCAGTTCAAAGATTCAGCAAAACAATCATCATTCGTTTCTAGAGACCCATCGGAGCGAATTTCCTTATTAGTTTCTAAGAACATTTGTTTGAATACCGGAAAAGTTTCTCAAAAATTCTTGGTTTTCTAGGTAAATGTTGGCAAAGAACCTAGCTCAGA